TAAAAACAGAATTTTAAATATTTTAAATGCCACTTATTTTATCAAATCGTTACTGTATTGATGGCAAACTTTCTATATTAGACTTCAACTTTAAACATGTCTGTTTCAGATATGAAATTCTGGTATATAATATAAAAATAGCGTTTGTGAGTGAAATCATCGAAGGCACGTTCAAAGAATTTAATTTAATTTAATGTTCAATCTCAATGTACGAACGAATTCCTGCTCGTATAATTACTTGAAAATCAGTTTATATAAATGACAGCAAAAAGCGATGACGTATGGAATTGGTACGATATAATTGAAATCAAGTAAGAAGACATCAGTCGCCATCGCCTTTAAAGGGTGCATCGCTTATACTGTTACCAAATTCAAAAGTTCATTCATGAGCAACGACACAACATTCAGTGTGAGACATGTTTGTGAGGAAACTATGTGCCAGCACTAGCACTTACAATTAGCACTTACAAAAACAGTGACATTCAATGTTCGGAACTGTCGCCTGGCACAAAAAAATTAATCAAGTGAAGTGTCACTCAGACGAAGGAAACCCAACTCATTACAAGATAGCAATTAAAAAATACATGGATGGCATTGCTGAATTCGACTAATAATTCAGTGAGGTGAATTCTCCGCGCGCATTTATTTCAGGCTCTTTAGACCAATACTGTATAGCCACTCAGCACCAAGTACGGCCAGTGGCGGTCAGGGACATGGCAATCTCTCAACATGTATTGACTCAATCAGAACGACTTCACCGGAGTCTGAGCAGAATATGACATGTGGGATATAGATATCCGTTTTATATAATGGAATTGTATATATCAATGTCTGAATGACATCTGATTTTAAATGTTTCCGATGCGATGCAGTAGAGTCGTGCTTTAAATTGTAGTTATGTTATTGCTGCAATTACATTGGTAAAGTACAAATACATTACCTCACTTACCTCAAGCACAAGTATTTATTGCCGGGAATACGCTACCGGGCTTAGTTATTTTTATTCCAGTATGAAATAGAATATTTATGCTTGAACAACATGATTTAACTATGCGTCCTATAAAGTGTTATAAATGGACTATTTATGATGCTGTATTTATAGTTAGAAATGTGCTAATACATCATAATACGGTACAAACTGATATTAATATTGATTACTCATATAACTACATATACACAAACAGCCATCTACAAATCTGAAGATTGCCATGGGATACCTCGCAACTACATCACCAATTATTTCAATATCTAGATCTTTTCTGGTGTCTCCCATGCACGTAGCTGAGGTAAAACATCATCCAATTTGTTTACATAGAATTTTCTTTTCAAGTCGAATCTCATTGTGGATTGATAAAATGTTTCAGGTATTTCATGTGTACGTTTCCTCATATTATCACTATATGCAAAATATTTTTTGAGTAATAACAACAAATATGAATGTCTTTCTGGGTATAATCTGTCAACAATTTCAGTTCTGTGTTTCACAATAGCTTTTTTGAACTTGGCAAACTATTTCGGCAAGCAAAATCAAAAACGTTTATATTGCTGTCTTGATATCATATACCTCAGACATGTTTATATATATATATATTGGTTGGAAGTTCATTCCAAAGGCATGGTGCATAAGCCGGAAACACACTAATACCAACAATATACTATACGGTTATTGACTAGACAGTGATTTAAATACAACAAATACAATTTAAAATTTAATCCCGTATTTGACAGGAAGCATTTTGAACAGCCTGTAACCTAGACATATGCACCTCAGATATACCATACAATGAACAATTGCAGCAAGCAAGACTGAAACCGATCGGTTTATGAATAGCTTTTTGATAGTTTTGACAGACAAACACTTTTGGATTTGATGTTCTTCGTACTTGATGACGGATATCGAAGTATTCCACGTCTGTGTGGAATCTGTGATTGTGGATATTTACAAGTGCCAGAACAAATGGGAATATCAATAACTAATATTACCTGCTTCAATAATGCCAACACCGCTTAATTACAACTCTTATAATGTGTAAACTATTAAGTAATTCATATTTTGGATCCAGTGGTTTTTTTTTTATTCAATTCCCCGCAGAGCGCATGGTGCGTAACAAGCATTCTCAAAATTGGCATGTACACGAACCGAAACGTTTTTTCTTCCGATCGGATTAGTAAATATGCAAACTACGAACATATAATACTATTTAAATGCCACGAAAAACACGAGTTAACAGTGGACAGTTATTTCAGTATGAGCTACATAGTAGACAGGTTTCTCACAAATGAAAGTTAATGTTGCTGCAGCAACACATCAAATGAAAAAAATCTAAATCTAAAAAACCACGTCAACATATAAAATGTGATAATGGGAACGTTGTAGTGCTTCTATCATTTGACACGAATTTATGTTCAAAATTGTAGGTTTAGGGTTAGGGTATATGCACAGCTACTCTAGAGCATTGAATTTATAAAACCAATTTTTCTTTTATATATTTGTTTTTTCTCTCTTAGTTTGTTTGTTTGATTATATAAAGTGTCTTTTTAATATTCGATGTGCGAACTTTCCACTTTATATACTACAATAATGATTTAATAGAAAAAAATGTCGTATAAAGTACATGATCCAATTATGTACACAACATTTTTTTGTTAGCCATGTTGTGCTTAAAGGCATTAGAATTTGAAATTATGACCAGCATACAGTATTCGAGACAATACATGACCATACGTGATATTTAATGATCTATCTGTAGTTACTGTGATACTCTGTGAAGCCCGCAATATAACCACGTTATAGTAGTACAGTCGGAGCGAAAATTGTGCGTGGCTCCATGCATCGTGTTTACTATAGAGGTAAATATATTCTTCATACTTATTGATGCGCTTTTTTGTTGCCCGAGGCAAAGTATATGTTACATGGTTAACTTCCAGCATTATTGCTATTGAATCACTGTTTACTGAACTTTCTCCCGACAAAAAGCAAAGATCATTACAATTGTTATTGTTCAAAGCATGGATTCGTCGACCGCTGTTGTCATGTGTGATCCGTTCCTCATCAACTTCATCCCCTGACTGGTACTATACGTGCCGCTTAGATTTGTTGGTCGTTGAGAATCGACCCGTTCATCGTGCGCCCATTTGAAACACGGCAGCCACCGAAGGGCCTTCCTGAAGCCGCGCCAGAATCTGTAAGAGAATAATAGCGTTTCACTTATTCTAAGACATACTGAAAACGTCACTGTCATGTCACATACAATTTTTGATTTTGAAATGTTCACTAAATAAATCATCATATCCGCCATGTTGTCTCAATACGTCAATGTTGCCATAGGTCATCAAATCCGCCATTTTGCGTAATAGTTACACCACAACTTGAAAGGTAAATTCTTACGTTTGAAGTTTTGCGAAATCTTGATAAAAAGTATAGCAACTTCTTTTAAAATGTGATGACATTGTGCGTCGAAGAACAACACCGAGAATACATTTGGGCTTTTGGTAAACTAATACGCAAACGAATTACTCTGTGAAATGGTTAGTGTTCGTCTAAGGCATTTTTTTTCCTTCAAGTGCACTTGCGTGTATTCGGTTTTCTAAATTAGAGTGACATCGCCCACATCGGTATCCGTTTCCACCAACATTCCCACTGTTACTAATACGCGTACTTGACGTTCGTGGATTAAATTGAATTTATATGTGTAATCGAAAAAGCAATTTTAAATTTCAGAGGTGTCATCATCGACAGTATAATAAATAACATAAATCATGTAAGGATTTAGCCGCTGGTAACACAATACTAAAATTTAGACCACATTCGCACACTTAACTGTCTACATGATTGAATGGTTTTGTTTGCGCCACCAACGCCCTGATCTCTGAAGGCAGAAGTTTTTATGCATTACGTAATGTACTAAAACAAGTGCAGAAGCATAAGCCGGATCCTGATTGGTTGGTAGGACACTTGAATGTCACATGCAATGGTTTCAAGCCAAATAAGTGCATTCACGATTCAAGATATTTTACGAGAAAACTAGTGAATAAATATTCAGAAAAGTGCGCTGGAAACAGGCAAAAACGATTCAAGAAAGTAAAAGATAAAGTGGATATAATAATGTATTCACACATTTTGGAGGATTTTGCAAGA